TAACTTCTTAAGCTTCAATTAATTTTTTTAAAAAACAATGTGCAGGTACTTCTAAGCTATACTATTTCTTTTTGAAAGAAGCATTTACCTTAATTTTAAGAATTTCTTCAATTTTACTTTCTCTTCTACTAAGTTAAAGTAAAACTAAAACGCATATTTTACTTAAATGTGACATTTACTTCAGTAAAGCCATTTCAATCTATACAGCTGCTTTTTATTACACTTATATAGCAATATCTGAAGTGGTATTTGCCTAATACAAATAACAATGATCTCTATGTAGTAAAATCTGTGGTTGTTTTTGATTTTATTCTGTGACCTGCTTGAAATTTTTAACCAGTTTTATTAAAAAGTTATTCTTTTCTAAATAAGTACTGTAAAATCAGAATACATAGGGGAAGTTGTTGCACTCTCTCTCTTGGTAATAATTCTTACTAGTAAGTCTTTAAATGTTTAATTATAATTCACAACACACTCTCACATCTTTCCCTGTGCTGTGCCCTCATTTCACAGCTGAGAATCTGAGAGTCAGAAGGGGAAATAATGGTCCACCCAGCTAGTCACTCGGATCTTCAGGAGCCTAACCCAGTGCTTTCAGGGGGACTGGCCTTCACCTCCATTTGGTGAGGTTAGTGATGAAGGACAGATGATAGATGACTCGATCAATACGAAGATCCCACCGTTAGAAACACCCTGAGGAGTTTGACCATAAAAGGGGGGTGAGGGGATCAGCTTTAAAGGCGGATGATCTAAGCAGAAAACACAGGCAGGAAATCAAGCCAGACTCTCTCCCCCAATGATGCTGAATCAGAGGAACGCACAAAGCCAAATTTATGGCTCGCTTGAAGTCCAGCCTTTGTTTTGGCACCATTCAGGGTAACACAACTCTTCGTTTTCAGAAGATGCTGGAAAACTTTCAGCTCTGAACCTATGTTCATTATCTAAAATCATATTCAGAAAAATTTCAGTAGAGAAACGGAAAACAGAATAAAAGGAAGCATTCTTCATTTCTCCATCCAACTCAGGGCAGCCACATCAGGGAGGAAAGAAGATAACTGTTGCTCAAGTTAGATTTGGGTAAGAACAGGAAATTGCATCTTTTAAAACAGATAAGAGTTTCCACCCATAAGGGTATCATAATAGCCTTTATCATTTGGGTTAACATTTATATTACCTAAAATAAACTCTCGCCCTGGTGTTGCTCTATAATTGGCATGGGACAGAGTACACATGGAAGCAAATGGAAGGTCAGAAAGCATCTTCTATCTTTACGTTACAAGAAACCTTCAGACTTTCCTAAACAGACAAACTTGGGTTTGTTGCTATGCGACTGACATGCAATAGAGCCAATCAGACCGTAGATAAATTGCAAATTTGACAGTGAAAAGCCTCTTCTCCTTGTTTGAGAACAAGCCACGACTTCCTTTCATGTCATACTAACCACCACAGCCCTCTAAGGCTATTTGACAAACACCAATGTTTTGGCGAGATAAACAGATGCATGAAGGACACAGCAATGAGAGACGCGGCCTGCAAACGCCACGCTAAGCAGCAGCACTGCCGTTCAAGTCATTCCTACAGGCCCGGGAACCTGGGCTCCCCAAACCTGGAGGAAGTTTATTTCACCCCCACATTCTTCCAGGGAGCAGGATATAAGCAAACTTAAACAAAAGACATTCTGGGAAATTCTGTTGGCAGGCACCCATCCCTGCTACACGGCTCGGGCCTGCTTCTACGTAAGCGCAGAAGAGGGAGTTTAGCCTTGAGAGAAACATCTGTGAGCACAAGATGTTACAGGCACAGGGAACTTGGGGCTCATGGGCCGGACATGGGCAACAGCCATGTTTAACGTGACCTGCTCAGTGTTCAAAATGCTATTCTCCAACATTTAAAATCTTTACTTAACAACATAGACGTCTATTAGGTTTTTTGAAATTAACATAACGTGAATTGCATTTTCACAAAAATTAGTTGGAACTGGCTTCTAGTAGAAAACCTGAAAACAATCCAAATATATAACAAGAGGAGAGTGGACAAACTGTGGTATATTCACAGAGAGAATTACTAGAGATCAACAAACAGAACCAACTACTGATATACTCAAAAACATGAACCGAGCCCACATACATTGTGCAAAAGAAGCCAAAACCAAAAATATATACTATAGGCTACCCTATATAGCCTCCCCTAATAAGTGGCCATGGAAGTTAGCCTGAGTTTACTGCCGGTAGAGGGGTGACTTCTGGGGATGATGGGAATGCTCTAGGTCTTGATCTGGGTGGCGGTGGTTACGTGGGTGCATATGTAAAGTGTGTCCACCTAGGCGCTTAGGGTTGAGCGCTTTGCACACCTCGCTGTAAGCAGTGTATACCTCAGTAAGAAATAAAATTCAACAAAAAGAACGATTTAGCTAAAGAGAGGTTGGCCTCTGTAGGTCGGGCATGTCTCACTCCTAGCCAGTTCATTATGCGATCTGCTTACCAAATTTACCTTTTTAAAAAAATTTTATTGAATTTGTTGCAGTGACATTGGTTAATAAAATTATATGTTACATGCATACATTTCTACAATACCTCATCTTTATAATGTAGTGTGTTCAGTACCCAAAGTCAAGACCCCTTCCAACACTATTTATTCCCCCCTTACCCTCTTCTACCTGCCCCCACCCCCCTTTCCCTCTGGTAGTCACCATATTGTTGTCTGTGTCTATAAGGGTTTGTCTGTTTTTTTATTAATCCCCTCACCTTTTTCACCCAGTCCCCCAACACCCCTACCCTCTGTCAACTGTGAATCTGTTCTCTGTGTCTATGGGTCTGTTTCGATTTTGTTAGTTCATTTTGTTCCTTAGATTCCACATATGAGTGAAATCATATGGTACTTGTCTTTTCTGATTGGCCTACTTCACTTAGCGTAATACTTTCCAGGTCCATCCACGCTGTCGCAAAAGATTTCCTTCATTTTTACAATCAAGTTGTATTCCACTGTGTTAATGGACCACAGCTTTTGACACTTTCAGGGACCTTCTCTAGAGTTCAGTACTAGCCAGTCTGGCCCGATGCTCCTTGCTCTAGACTAGACCAGCGGTTCTCCAAGTGTGATGCCCAGACAAGCGGTATCAGCCTCACCTGGGGCCACGCTAGAAATGCAGACACCCAGGCCCCACTCCACACCCGCTCAGTCATAATCTATGGGAGGGGGCCCAACAATCTGCTTTAACAAGCCCCCCGGTGACTACGATGCATCTACAGACTGAGAAACACTGCTCTAGAGCAACACACTTGTTGAACAACATACAAGAAAAGCACACTTGGCCTGTCCCACATTCTCCAGGCCCTCCTACCCTGCCCCCAACATATTTCAGGGACCTCAAAAGCAGAAAAGTCGATTGGCTCCCTCAAAGCACTATCAACTTCAGGTAACAAAATCCCCAGAAATGATGGGCAACTAACACACCCATTCCTGTATTAGCTATCAGGTAGCTTTGGATTTACTAGGGTTACAACTGGATGGGAAACACTCTCCAAAGAAAATGAAAGCAACCTCACATACTTTTTACTGTGGAAACAATGCAGATCATAAAGCATTCGGTTCTACCGCAACTCTGAAGGAAAAATGGAAATCTACACTTAGGGAGGGAGCATGGCTCTGAGGGTCATAGAAGCATCTAGAAATTCACAAATTAAGACCAGCAACCCCCATTGTCATGTAACTTGCATAAAATTTACTTAAAACACCGTACATGGATCTCCATTTGGGGTTGGAAGTCGTCACCATCCAACCACATGCTACAGTGTAACCAGAGTGGGCGTTCTTTGCCAACAGAAATGTCATTTCTGAATGAGTCGGGGGAAATCAGAGATGCTTATTACATGCCTATAAACTGATTAATATTAATTCAAAAAGCATAAAACAGTTACATATGACAGTAATATTCCTTCTTTGTATTTGTACAAAACGTGAAGAGGTAACCTATTTCTCTTTAGAAGATTAAACAATTTCTCCTTTATCAGATTGAAATATAATTTCAGAACAAAAGATCGATGTTTGTGTCCATCATAGTATTTACGGAATCCCTAGCATTTAAAGAGAGAGAGAGAGGATGGGGGGAGAGAGAGAGATCCTTAATAATAAAACAATAAAATAAATATAACAATCTTATTTTAAGCAGTGCTTTTCTCATTTGTTTCACCCAATACTTCACGGCGGGTAAACCAGGGAGATGGTAAAAAATCAGTTTCAGAATTACACTGGCTACCAAGTTCACCTACAATCCATCATTTGACCGGTTTGGGAATAAATCTGAAAGTCACGTGAGCAGAGCTCTGTGGGCACACAACCAGTGAAGTTGCACAGGACTCCACCCTCAGAAGGGGGCCCTGTGCTTGGGGTTAATGTTCTCTGGTTGTTGGCTTGGAAGGCTTAATAATTTCATCTTTGAGTTCATGTTTTGTAAGGAAAGGCCAAAGGGATGAGCTGGGTGCTTGGAGCTTGGACTCACACATTGTCTCACCATCTCCCCACCTCCCCTGAAGAGTCCTTGGCTAATGGCTCACTCACCCACCCGGTGACAAGGCCACCCTCCACCCCAAGGGTCCTGGACCTTGACACAGAAGAGTTGGGGCCGGTCACAGGACGGTGTCCCAGCACTTGTGAGGGTCTGCGCTTACCCTGTGAGTATCCCCGTGCCCAAGGAAACGTGACATTAAGTAGCAAATAAAAGACACCATGTGGGTTGAGAGAAAAACTGTGGAAGAAAGAAAAAAGTTTTACTCCTACTTTTTGAACAAGGGGCTGACATTTTCACTGGGCATGATCCTCACAGATAACGTAGCTGGCTCTGCACACGGCTGCGAATGGAAAATAGCAAAAGAATTCAGAAGAGGAACTAGATGGTGTGAGAAGTAATGGGGCATGGGGAGGGGACCGGGGCGCTAACTAGCGTTCAGGAATCAACATGGTTGAACTCCACATTGTTACAAATGGACCAGATATATTCTTTTCAAAATAATGCTTTATTTCTTTCTGATTAAAAAGCAATATATATCACAAAGTATTCAAACATATCCAGACACTAAAGATGTGAATGGGAATCTACATTCAGAGAAGTAACAAAGCTCAGGGTATTAAAAATCACAAATTACCCCCGACTCATCCCAATTCTATCAAGCACTACTTTCTGGGTGCTGTGAACCCAAGTCTCCCATTTTGCCAGGCACGTGGAACCTTTTGAGCCTGAGCTTACGATTTATGAACACAGCTTTGAGGATATCTAAACGCAAGGCAGGTTAACAAACAGTGGGATCCTTATCTTCGCACCTCAGCATTAGCCACCTTCGATTTTACCAAAGGATACCTTTTGTTTTTCAGCACTTGAGCCTGCCAAGGGATGACGTTGTCTAAACACATTTTCAATGTTTTCTTTTTAACAGTTAATATATTTCCAGGATGCAAGTCCATTTCTTTCTAAAAGGTTCCTAGGCACCCATTGAAAAGTCAGAAGCAATGAACTAAAAGGAATCGCTATTTTGTTGGATAACGACACCCTTTGTATGGAAGGGGGGGATTACAGGCTGTGGTCACCCTCTGCACAGTGTCTCTTTGTCAAGTAATAAGCGCTGAAAAAAAATAATACAGATGGGAAAATATTGTGCACTGTCAGATCTTGGAAAGGGCCAAAGGATTTTTCCTCACCAATGTCTTGTCGATGACTTTCACATTCTGGCACCCTGAAAAAAAATAATGCATACATTTAATATGAAATGAATGCAGTAATAATCAGGCAGGTAATCGTTTTCCCAAGGAATGTAAAACTTGACAAATGTAAGGTTTATGATTCGAGGTAGCCTTGCCAAATCTTATGTGGCATGAGACCATTTTTATTACCTAAACAGTCCTTAACACAAAATGACTGGCACATATTTTTATTAACACAAAGAGTATATTCTTTCTGCCACATTTAATAAGGAGTCGGTGGCTGAAAGCTCTCTTTTAGGATATGTCTGTAGCAAATTAAAACGCGTGGTGAGGATTCGCAGAACGGCATTCTTCTCAGAGGCGCTGTGTCCACACAGGCCCAGCACAGTTGTGAGTCGACAGCTGATCTGGGGGAGTCTATGCATGGGGCCAACCTGAGTGATATGGGTCACAGAAAAGGAAACCTTCATTACCTTCACAAGTGAGGGAGTGGGTAGTTAACTCAAGGTCATTCTTTGTATCGAGAGGTCCATCTGAGTCAAATTCAAAAGTTACTAGTAATAAGGTGCTTATTTATTGGTTCATTCATTCTGCAAATATGGCTTGTGTGCCAGGCACTGCTCTAGACACTAGGAACAGTGCAGTGAAGACAACGGACAAGATCACTGCCTTGTGCTTCTTACGTTCTAGAGAGGAAAGAGATCATACATACTGCCTATAATTTAAAAAATAAATCACATGATAGGTGATCTATAGAAGGTGATAAGTGCTATGAAAATAAAAACATGAAATAACAATAGGGAAAGAAAACTGGAAGTTGAGTAGGTGAGTAGAGAATAAGTTGCCATCTAAACAGGCTGGTCAGGAGGAAACCCTTTGAGAAAGTATAAGTGTGACTTGGAGAATGTGAGGGGGTTAGTTATATAGATACCTGGGGGAAGGGCCCTAAGGCTGAAACATGCCTGGCATAGCCAAGGAACAGCCGGGAGATAAATGTACCCTGGGCAGAACAAGCAACGGTGACAGGAGCAGGAGCTGAGGTCAGAGAGGTGACAGAGGTCAAACCACACAGGGCCTTGTGTACTATGTCAGCTCTGGCATTTACTCTGAATAAACCCAGAGCCGGTTGAGCATCCTGATCGGAAGAGAGTGACACGGTCTGAAATAATGTGTAAAAGATCACGCTGACTACGGTGATCAGGATGGGCTGGGGGGAGGAGGTAGGCAAGGACAGACAGACAGACCTATAATTCCTACAGGAAGGGAGGGGAAGGGAAGGGTACAGAGAGATTATCGCAATATCCAAGGCGAAGAGAGATGACGATGGCACTGAGCCAGAGCGATGGCAGTGGAGGTGGCCGGTGAGGTCAGGTTCTGGTTCCATCTGCAGACGGAGCTTCCGCGGACGTAAGGGTGCGAGGAAAAAGAGAAGTCAGGAATGGCTCAGGATTTTTGATCGGAGCACCTGAAACGATGGTGCTGACCTGAACTGAGAATAGAGAGTCTGCAGGGGAAGCAAGTTTTAATAAGAAAAGTTGGCAGCTTTGTTTTGAACAGGAAGAGTCTGAGATGCCACTTAGACAAGCAGGGGTGTTGGCTAACCAGATAGATTTACTGTTCATGTGTTATGAGGTGAGGAAGAGTGTGATACAGCATCCACCCTTCAGGTCCTCAGCACTGCCGAAATATCCTCACAAGGCTTTCAAAGATAGAGGCTGACTGGGTGTTACAGACGATGCACTGGGTAGAGTTCCTCAGTTCAGAGGGTGCCCTGCACTGGAGCTGTAAATGTGGAGCCAACTTAAAGTTAATTACATCCCCAAATCATTCCAACTTCTTCCCCCTCAAATTCACTTCTCCCCACCAAGCAGCCTGGCTTAATGACCACTGGAAGAAAAGAAAGCTGTAAATTGCAAAGGCAAGTCTTACCACTCAGGGCCATGGCCAACCGGAATTCTTCCTTTAGTATCTCAAGGACATCTTGAACACCTTTCTCTCCCTAAGCAAGTAAAAGATACGGATCTTTTGGGTAAGTCATTCTGGCCTATTCCATGTATTTATTTCATTGTTGAGTTATCCTGTTTTATATATTTATTTACTTGCCCTCCAATTACCTGGGAAGCCAAGCCCCAAATGATGGGTCTCCCCACAAACACAGCCCTGGCGCCCAGGGCCAAGGCTTTCAGAACATCCGTGCCTTTCCGAACACCCCCATCCAGGAAGACTTCCACCTTCCCTTCCACGGCCTCCACGATTTCTGGAAGAGCGTCAATCTGTGGAAAGAAGAGGTCAATAACGTGATGACATTTTGCGTAATGAATTGTTGCCCCACTCAACCTCCAGAGACCACTGACCATCTGACTAGGGCTCAGAGTAAAAGAAGGTAAGTAGATTTGGAATCAACAAACAAACAAACAAAACACACACACACAGTGCATTTGCCCAGTCCTTGACATTGGCCTTGGCCTTGCAGCCTACTTTGGCCAATAACATGTGAGCAGAGGTGGCAGAGTTTCACTCCTGAGCTTAGGCCTTAAACAACCTCATGTTTCTCTATTTTCTCTTGCACCTGTGCCATCTGCCATGAGAGGAGCATCCCCTGGGCAATGCTTCCCCTTTAGCTAGGCCCCAGGATAAATATTCAGGAAGCAGAGCCAGCCCAGCCGGGCCTGAAACTGGGCGCATAGCCATCTAACCAGTACCAAGCCCATATCAGCAGACCTCCAGTTCACACAGAGTTTCATGGGAATAAATTACTGCTGATTTAATTCACTGAATTTGGAACCTTGTTTTACAGCATTATGTGGCAATAGTGACTATAGTTGGCTAATAGCCAAAATAGTTAAAGCTAATAGCTGATACGGTCAGCTACTTTGATGTAAATCTTTGCACTTGGGAATGGAAGCAATTCCCAAGGTGATCTGTAGGTTAAAATCTATAGAAATTACTCACATTCATACCAATATATTTAAATCTAGAATTAAATCCAATCCCTATATAAAACGCATGCTGAAAAAGCTACCATACATTCAAGTGCAGTTTTTCTCAAAATAATTCTGCTGAAATCACTCAAAGGTTTTTCCCACTTTGCCCCTAAAATTTTAGAGGCTAAACTTAAAAAGAGTTTTATGTAAAAGGCTGAAGACCAAACCCAGCAACAGATTTGGAGGAAGTGAAGGCAACACTTGGCGTGCGGCCCCTGAATGTTGGCAAGTGGTCTGATTTTCCCCTTTCCCTTTGGGCTTTTCTGCCTTGCCAAGCATGCTTTGGGCCCATTTACATGCACCCCTTTACCTATACATAGGCCTCTTTTACAGCCCAGCAAGTTACATCAACATACAAATGCTACAATTTCCAAGGGATGATGCAAGCTATAATTAAGCATATTTCCCCATTTGAAACCAGAACCAAAGAAAAATATCGGGTAGCGTGAGTTCAATACACATTTTCAAAGTCACGCAAACCAAGTCCCTTTAGGTTATTTCCAATGCCCAACCTGGCCTGAAAGGAAACTGTTAAGGATACTTTCAATGTGAATCCTGGGTTATAAGAGGAACCCAGGTTGGTGTTTCATGTGTCTGTGGACAGAGATGTTCTATCCGTGGCTGAGGATTTCTATCCCATCTCCTTTTTTTCCCTTTACTGCAGTTTTACTGGGTATGTATTTCAGAGGATAATTCTGATCAGAGGAGATTAAATAAATAAATGTAGTAAAAAAATCCACTATGTTATGACTCTGTTATGTTTCCTTCTTATCAGCTTGCTGCCCATCTAAGGGATGATTCATTTCAGCTTTTTTTGCCTTAGTGGTTCTTTAGACAACTGGCTGTGGGCTTAACTCCAGTGGGGTTCATATACAGAAAGGTAAGACACCAATAATGACTATTGGTCATTCATCCATCCATTCATCGACGAATCAAACTCTTTATGGAGGACCTGGTATATTCAAGTCACTATGCCAGGTCGTTTAAAGGACCCAGAAAGAAAATCTCAGAGGTGCAAGAAGAATCCCACATGAATCCAACTGATAGTCTCCTCTTTCCCGTCCCTGCCCAAGCCACACTCTTCCAGGATGCTCCCGAGGGAGCTCTCACCTCTCTACCTTCCTATCACACCCGTCATGATAGTCCTAATTTCTCACACTTTAGGCACGGAAACCTTTGAAGGTCTCAACCCAAAGCAGTTGAACATGACCAAAAGCAGATAAAACCAGAGTTGCTTTAGTGAAAAGTGAAGGAGACAGCACCCAGGCCGCTGCCCATAAATCCTTCCCTGACTCTCTGTTACCCATCACACTTCACCAGGCACCCCTGGGGAGTTTCTGCTAAGCCCACTTAGAAAATCATTGGCCCACATAGAAAAGCCCTGATTGTTTTTGATCGCAAAAATGGCTACGAGTATTTCCTTCCCTGTCTTCATTTCCTTGCAATGTGGCCTTTCAGCTCCTCCCATCATAGGGGGGAAATGTGACCAGAAGAGCCTATTTCCTCCCTCCTTGAATCTGAACCGGCTGCTCTGACCAACAGAGTGTGAGAGAAGCAACAATGTGTCTGTTCTAAGCCTAGATCCCAAGAGGCCTTGCGTGCTTGCACTTACTCTCTAGGAAATCTGCCACCTCATGAGAAGCAGCCCAGCTGATGTGCTAGATGGAGACAATGCAGAGCTGTCCCTGCTGAGGGCAGCCTCCGCCAGCCCGTCTAGAAGACCCAGCAGCTGACCACAGATGCATATGAGTGAGCCCAGCCAAGACCAGAAAAGCCTCCCAGCCCATCTCAGCCCAAACTGCCAACTCACAAAATTGTGACATAAGTAAATGGCTACTGAATTTTGGCCAGTAAGTTTCAGAGTGGTTTGTTACACGGCAAAAGCTAACTAATACATTGTTTCTCAAAGATAGGATTGCATGGATCTCCTTTAAAAGGAAAAATAAAATCTTTAGATCTCATAGAAGATGCCTAAGGACCCAATTTTGGAAACACTTACTAACCCAAATACTTATTTTATGAAACTGTTCTGCAGTTAAGAATTTTCACTGGAAAAGAATGGCATGTTTTTAAACTTAAATTAGTTTGGGTCCAGTTAGCAACAAAAATGAATATATATATATATTCTGCTATGGTTCAACAGCTCCAGAGAACCTGTCTTTAGACCCCAATTCGAGATGCTCAGTACTACGGATTTTGGAAATCTATTTGATTCTGTCATATTGTTCTCTAATTACTTAAAAATCAGTCTTGGTTACATTATTACCTTGAGGGTAAGGGCCTTCACATGAGCTTAATTTTTAACTTCTTTTGGGTAGAGCAGAGGTCTGGCAGGGGTTCTCAGTAGTGTGGTATTAAGACAAACTGAAGTAAGATTCCTAGTGATAAGAATTTCCCCATCCAAGGGAACTCTGCGATTTATAGAAATGTAGAAATCATCTAGTCCATCTGCTTTGCTCTTGCAATCAACACAGTACTATAAAGAAGCAAGCGCAGGCTGAAAAGTTAAAGCAACTTGCTCACCTGGATCTTACCCCTGAGAAGAGGCAAGACAAGAACTTGAACTTACGACTCTGGGCTCCCACTTCAGTGCTCCTCCCATGACATCACTCTGCTTCTTTGGCTCTCACTTATGATGTCACAGAATCTGCAGGAGAGCCAGTCCTTCTGTGTATCTACTGAAAAGTTTTACACCACAGCCTCCTGCAACCCTTTTGCCACTTACTTCAAAACCCACACACCAAGGAAAAAACATCTTCATGTAAAACAAACCCTTTCTCATATTTCTCTCACCATGATGGGCCTTAAATTTGCTCTAAAATATGAGGCAAAACTCAAGCAAGCATCTCTTCTCTTGCACACAGCATGCAAAGGGGAGGGTCATTGTTTTTCTTAAAAGTCTCGGAGACCACAGCTCAAAAAGCCCTTTTAGATAAGTTTCCATATCCCCTCAGCCAAAGTGAAATAAACCACACCATTTAGATATTTTTTCCTTAAAATCTAGTTAGATTTGATTTCAGTAGATTTAGATTTTTATTTTTAGAAAGCAAACTTAATTTGGCCCGCACACTAAGTCTATGTCTTCACACATAAGAGAGGCATAAATCTGCAAAAAAGCCAGGAGCTGTGACCAACTTTCCCTCCCTGCCCAGAGGAGGTGCTTCACTCTCCACCTCTATTTACCTGCAGACAACATTTAATATCACCTAAAAATATGGGTCTTTATAAGTAAGGCAGAATTGGAAAGGGCTGAAAACTTCCAGTTTTATTACTCAAAATCTTGACAGTGTAATCCTACAGTGTGCAAAGACTTGGTTCGTTCCTACCATGAGTGCTTTAGGAAAAACTGTGAGTACAGATATATGTACCCTAGATTCCCTTGTAGTCGTTTAGTCTGCTCTAAGACCTACACAACTGTCTATGGATTTGGCTAAATCAACCTGCTAGTTCAATAAAAAAATAATCCACTGATTCTTGACTAAATTATTTCTTCTGCTCTACTTCCATGTGTTCGAATCAGTTCAACAGATTATCCCAATGAAAGCCATTCATTATAACAACTATGACTGAATGACTCTGATAAAAGGGGGAAGATCCATATGATGGTCCAGTTCAGAGACGGTGTTCTGAAAAGCCCACCCGCATTGTTTGGTAAATCTATTTTTTTAGTTTTGTTACACGAGGCTAGCTTACTTTGTCTACAATAAATCGGATTATAGGGTGTTGAAGTTTAAATGCACCAAAGAAATAATGTAAGGATGTTTAACGGGTGAGAAAACTGAGGTTTGGAGTAGAAATCGATTCCCTACACCCTGCTGCAGGNCGGGTGAGAAAACTGAGGTTTGGAGTAGAAATCGATTCCCTACACCCTGCTGCAGGTCAGGCCCTCTTCTCTTCTCTTTCCTTGGGTATCATAACTATCCAGGCTACCTCATTGATCTTCCTGCCTCCAGTCATGCCAAAACCCAATTTATAAGAGTCATTGCTGCTAATCAAGGCACTTCTATTGTACATCCAGTGACTCATATCATTCCAGATGAGTCCTTTACCTACCTAGGAAGGCATAGTTCCCAGGGTTCCCCCACCTCAAACAGACACAACAAACAAAATGGATTACTTGGAATTCCCCAAACACATCCCATGTTTTTCCATTCCATATATACACTTGCACTTCTGAAAACAGGGGTCCACATGAAGACAGGGCAGAGGTGAAAGGCAACGGCAAAATCATTGCCTCATTGAAGAGAACTGTGGCCAAGTCCCCACAGGTGGACAGCAGGGAAGAGAGATGCTTTTTAATACCCTACCCATACGGCTCCTGGCCCCATTCTGGGTTATGGATCCATGAAATTCACTCCAGGATATGTGTCTGTCTCCATGATTTTTTATCTATTTCTGGGCCCCTAGTCCTGGATCTCAAAACCTGCCCCAGTGCCTCTTACCTATCGGTGTACCTATGAATACAAGAATAATCCCTGCCCACAAATGACTTATTATTTAACTTTCTTTAGTTCGTAAATAAGTGTATTGGACTAATTAATGATCTAATTTAGGTGGTTATGTGCCACTAAACGTAAAATTGGAGATCTCCTATATTCACATATATTTTACCTTGAGCATTCACACAAAAACATACACAGTGAAGAGGCAGACAGAGAGATGGTCAAACTGTGATGGAAATGAGAACTCCAAAAAGAAATCTCAGCATTTGCTGCAACTCACTGTGGCTGGCACCCCATCGAGTTGTCGAGCCCCGTGATTCGACACCAAAATCCCATCCAAACCGTGTTTCACTGCCTCCCTGGCATCATCTCCTAGAAAGAGCAAGACAACCATCATAAGGAAAGACTACTTATAGAAGGCTTGGGGTCAGAGGTCGAAGTATCCCAGTGGAAGGGAACCTGACCTCACAGGTATGTACCTCGCTAGGAACCCTTAGTCAGAAATACACCCAAGGGTTAGAGCTAGTATAGCAGATAGACATGAACTTCTTTCACATAGGTGGGTACAGGAGAGTTAACACTTAACAATTAACATGATAACAATAACAAGTGGTCCTGTGGTCTCCTGCTCTGGTTCAGTGATTGTGTCCTGAGGGGTCTGGAGAAAGCAAATTATCCTGAAATTCCAAAGGTATGTTATTGTAGATGCAAAAAGACAATACACAGGCTCAGTTAAGGAAAAGATTGACCTTTGTCAAGGAAGATACGGGCCTGCGACATGACAATCCACCATCGTTTGCTTTTAGTTAGGAAGTTTCATTTCAGACCATCCTATGTGGTTACTTTAGGTCTCTGAGTGGACAAGGGCCACCATGCATATCTCCCCTGAGCTTGTCAGGTTTAGTATGTGGCCCATTTTTGGCAACACTTCCCTCTTTTGGTCACAAATCAATCCAAAGGATGCACTGATGACCAACCATTTGGTTGGATAATGTGGTCCAACGGTGCCAGGAAGGCTCATTCCTAGGAAGTCTTAGTATGAGCATTTGTCTTGCTGAACAATTGACCACTGCAGATGGGGCAAGACCGTAACCTAGGATGGAAGTCAAAGCTGAATTTTTCTCAAAAGTAGAAAGCAGGTAAGTGGGAGGCAGTTAGGTCTTATGGGCCTTCATGAAGAAAAACACTCTGGGTCCCCTCTAGCCTATAAGCTATCATGACCCAAGTTTTGCTGTTTATCTCGCTTCTCTATATTTTGTTTCTAGTATAACATTTACTTATAGTTTGAGGACACACCACATACCTCTTCAGTTTTCATAATCTGACCAAATATATTTTATATTTTAAACTATTATTCTCAGCATGCTCCCAATAACAAACCATTTGCTAACAGAATAATGAAAGTAATGCTAGTTCTCAATTTGAACAAAAATAGTTGGCCCAAGGTTGTAATGAAAATCATATTTTGGAAACTTAAGCAGATAGATACAGAATATGGTATGTATTCATTAACTCAACCATGGAGATCAAGGAGAGAGCTGATTAAGAATAATAAAAAAAAATTCATAGGAGAAACTGTAGTTCTGAATGTTTTCAAATTTTATGCTGAAACACCATTTCCAAACTGTTTCATGGAATACTAGACTTTTAAATATCTCCATATTTTAAAATAATGCTAGTATTATTTTTCTTCTAAAATTACAGGTAAATGAAAATGTTAAACCTATGTTTTATGGGCTGAATGCTTGTGTCCCCCCAAAAGCTTTAGGTTGCAGCCCTAACTTCCAACGTGATAGTCTTTGCGAAATATTTAGGGTTAGATGAAGTCGTGAAGGTGGTTCTCTCATGATGGTGTTAGCACCCTGATAAGAAGATACCAGAGAGCTTGCTCCCCACCCTCGCCTTATCCCCACAAAGAAGAGGTCACCTGAGTGCACAGTGAGACAGTGTCCTCCGCAGCCCAAGGAAAGAGCCTTCACCAGAGTGAGCATAATGGACCCCTCATCTCAGACCTGCAACCTCCTAAATGGTAAGAAAATTAATTTCTGTTGTTTAAGCCGCCCGGTCTGTAGTATTTGTTATGGCAGCCAAGCTGACTAAGCCATCATGTCCTTGTTGCTCTTGTCAGAACCCGCCTTTAAGTAATGCTACGACGAACCCTAAAATGCAACGACACAGTGCGAAAGGTGCCCTGATGCGTAAACATCGGTGTTTACCAACGACTTCGTATGCTGTCCATTCCCCTGTGAGCCTGAGTTACTATGCATTTACTGTATACCCAATAAATGATCCATAGTCTACATTTACTTCATATTAAATATAAAACCTCCTGTTCCTACAGGACCGTTTGGGCTGTTTTAATCCAAGCATGCGCTCCATCTCGTGAGATCTTACCGGCAGTTTCTGAGGCGCTCCTGGGGAAAGGCCCTAGCCTCAGGACTGAAAGATGACTTCTTTCCCCCTCTAGTGACTGACTCATATTTTACACTTTAATGTTGCTTTATATTTGGACCAGATGTGTTTAATTACAGATCTTTCTTTTCCTGGATTTCTAATTGCCTTTCCTTTCTCTCCATTTATCATGAGACTTTAGAGTATCAAAGTCCTTCACGCCTTCCCATGACTCTAACCTACTGAAGTCACCTAGTGTCCCCTCTGCGGACACCCCCCGAGCCCCCGCCCTCCTGCTCTCTCCTGCTGTGACTGCTCAGCCCACAGCCCCCCTGCACCTGCAGCGCTGACGGCCTGTAGTCAAGTCTATGCGCTCACTGGGTTCATGTGCTCACTTGCACTACATTCCTGTGGAACTTCCTAAAAGAAGCAGCTAAGCTTGCAGGTCACTTAAATAACTTCTCTTGTGTGTGAATAACTGGATGAGACACGATATTCTACACCGAAAGCTCCTTTTCCTTGGGGTCTTAAAGACATTACTCCTTTGTCTTCTAGGGCCCGCGGGTGGTGACGAGCCGGTGGAAGCCACTTCGGCTCCCACTCCTTGGTAAGTAACCGGTTTTCGGTTTGTTCTCTCTTTACACACATTTCCCCCTGAAATTTCATAAGCTGTGGTGTTCTTTCAACGGGGTGACTTAGGTCTCCAGCATTCGGGCATGTTTGTCTGTGCTAATTTCCTCCCTGTCTCTCTCTTTCACTTCTTTATATGAAGACCTTTCTCAACCGAGCTTTGGACATTTTAAAAGGTTTTCAAGCCTCTTCTCATTTAATCATATTTTCCTTCTATTTGTCCTGTTGCCCTTTGACATTTTGGGAAATGTCATTAACCCTCTTGTTCAATTAATAATTTCATTTTTAATTCCAGAAATCACATTTTTAAAATATTTGGTAGCTTCTTTTTATATTCTGATTTTCTTTTCATGACATACTTTTCTCATTTAGATATATTTTCAGCTTCTCTTCGTCTATTAGTTGAAATTTTTAAATTTGCTTTTCTTGTGTTCTCTCTTTCCTCTAGGATCAAGTCTTCTGTAGATTTATCTTGGTCTTTTAGGTTTTCATTTTTCTGATATGCCTTGTGATGCTAAATTTTTCTTTTTATATTTAAGGGAGAAAGATTAGGAAGTTGCTATATAGCCTCCTGGGCTGTTTTGAAAATCACTTTAATTCCTGCTAAGTCTTTGCTGGGAGTAGAAATTCTTTCTTGGAGCATCATGTGGGACAAGGCAAGGGGCTATTTTTGGACTGTGAATTCCTCAAGGGTCAGGGTGAGAATAACACCATGTCATATTGTAAATGTTACCCACCCACAGGTTATCCCAGAATCTCAATCCATGAAGATTTCAAAAAATGGTTATCTAAAGAGACAGCCTTCATACAGTGCCAGCCAACAGGACTTTCTCCGATGTCCATGTTCTATACAGTAGCCACTGGCCACGTGTAGCTGTTACACAACTGAAGTGTGGCACTGTGACTAAGGAACTGGAACTTTACTCTTATTTCATTTTCATTAACTTAGCCACACTTGGCAAGTGACTGCTGTATTGGATAAATCAGCTTTAATGTTTGCCTGAGTTTACCTATTCTAATAAAGAGAATTTTAAAAGTCTGGGTGTATACATAAGTAACCTTAACAAACAATGTAAAATATATTTAGAACTGTTGTGGTTTGCTCTGGTTATCTGGTTGTGTGTATGAGAATCAAATATCAAATCAAAAGTTTTTTAAAGTCAAAATGTATGAACTGTAATATTTTATAAGCCCCATGACTGAGGATGTATGCAGCCCTTTGATTTATATTCAGATGTCTGCCACAATGTAGTTGCCACCTGTGTTTTGAGAAATTGAATATTTCAGTAAACAGATTCTATACAGTATAGAAAAGTGATTAACTGCTTAGGCTTAGTAGTGAGACCACATGGATTTGAATCCTGTATCTGCTTGCTATGTAAGTGGCAAGTTATTTAACTTCTTTGCACATCAGTGTCCTAACCCACAAAATGGGGATAATCCACATAAGATTGGTTTGTGGATTAAATTAATTGAACAAGTATTTAGAGTAACATCAGATAAACTAACTATTATTATTATCATCTTCTGGTGTGGGAAGCATAAATTAAAAAGATGAATTGGTGGAGGAAGATTTATTTGCTGGATGCTTTGGCAAGTCTGAGCTTTATTTATAGCAACAACATTGCCATCCCAGTAAGGATTCAGATTATAAACAACCTCTGGTCTGAAGTAAGTGCTACTTAAGTAACGGTTTGTTATCTTCTATCATTTCAAGTGATTTCCCATGTTTTTCTAGGCAGTGCTGGGGAATGTAGGAAACGGTCTGCTCAGAAGATAGGACCATGCGTGTCTAGCAAGGCAAAGAAAGAAAGAACAATTTGCGAGTAAACATGAGCGCCTTTTGTCAGCTACTTATGAAACACTGCCCACAGTTTTACATTTTACATTAACCTAGAGAGGAAACAATGTTGCCTTAATGAGAGGGTTAAAATGTTCTGATCTAGGAAAACGTTCATGAATCTTCGATGCTTTCGCTAAGCCTTAGGGCTTACCAGCATGGCATTCCACATCTGTTCATGTGCCAGGCACTGCCTCCACTGGCTGACGAATACAGTAGTCAACAGAGAATGGCAGTGTTTGCGATTTTATTAATACATTGTTTCTATATTTAATCTAAAATACCAAAGTGAAATGTAAATACTCAAGATTTACCCTGGGGCCCTTGGAGCTTTTGAAGCGGTCCTGGTCCTCTGTGCTCCCTTATAAGACTTTGGTAAGTAAATACCAGGCACATGGCAGCCTTTGAAACGCGACAGGGAGCATTTGAGTGAATGTGCTTTGAGAGTGTCTTGAAAAAAAAAACTGCATATAGAAAAGAAGGCACTTAGAGCATAGTTTCTGCAAAACAAAAAGCCACTCTGGAAGTGAGACAACCTAGGTTTAAAAAAGATTTTTAATTGGGGAAAAAAAAACCAAAAACCTCTAAAAAACATTACATTTTTGCTCATAAAGCCACTTATTCGTTAGCAAGAGTTGTGGTGAAGACCAGACCCTGTCTCAATACATGTTGCAGTTTGTGTTGAAGTTTTCCAAGGGCAGAGCTTAACCACAGCGAGAGATTGCATCTTAGTCTACAATTTGCTGGTGAGGGGACTATTTCACTGATATCTTTCCAGTTGCCTGTGCTTTTATGTGCCTGCAACCATAAGCCGCATCTTTCTAGTAGAAGGGGAGTGAAAGAGTATGAGTGGCTCGCAGTGGATCCCTGAGATGAAGACTTCTGGATGAAGATCTGTGAGACGAAACGCAAGCACTGGGTTTCCCAGAAGGGGCACCGCCCTGGGCCCCCTCCCCCAAACCCTTCCCCCGTTTCCAGGCCGAGCCCAGGTGCTGCCTTGGATGCAGTTGTGGTCATAGAAATGATTCTTATTTGTTAAATAAATGAAATAAATCATTACAGAGAAACCAGACAACGTAAACTGTACACGTATAAATAAGTTATTTCCCTTCAAATGCCAAATGTCCCAGCTCTCTTTCTCTCGCTTTTGAGCTCTCTCTAATTTATAGACTCATACCGTTTTCACTGAAGATTTTACTCAGTAAACATTTGGGCTATTTGCTGTGTGCAAAACATTATGAAAACATACAGAAACAAGTGGCACAAAAAGGGAGGTAAATAGTGGTGCTGAGGGTCGTAGGTAAAATGACCACAGAATGAAGTTCTAGAAGTCAAAATATTTTTAACATAACACGTGAGAGTAAAGTCTAATTCAATAGAGTTCCATCATCTCCTAGAGGACATCGTTGTAGAAAATGGTAATATATTGGGAATCTTACATTGAAAAGTTAAAGAATTAAATAACCTCATTCTTATATTTGTCCCCTGTTTTACATGGACAAATATGGGACTATACTAAAATGTTATCTTTTCTTGGTGTTTTCAAGCCAGTTGCTCTAGGGCACCTCTGTGATGAGCACGAATTAAATGCTGGAAACTATACTAATTTCCTAATTCGATTACACCCCCTGGCTCCCTCAGGTCAGCCACAGTTATCTCTTGCCTGAGCAACAAGAGGTCCTTGAAGGTGCCCCCTGCCCCCAGTGTTGTCCCATCTATCCACTAGATGCATCGTACAAAATGTGACTTTTCCAAAACAGTCATCTGAGGAGGTTGCTTCCCTGACCAAGATCCTTAGCGGTTCTCAAACATCCAAAGTCTACATTCTCTAAATGGCTTACATGGTTTATATTCTTTTATTTTGCCATTAGTTCAGTCTAAGAGGCATTTGACCTGATAGCATAGCAAAACTCAGGCATCATCTTTCATCTGGAGATGAAATCTTCCCTAAGCCACCCTTAGAATTGCCTACACTGTGTTCTAAGAACATCCTTACACTGCATAGATTTCTACCTCAGCACCAGTAACATCTCATTGCACCAAATTCTTGTTTACAAGTCTGTCTCCTACAAGAATGGGATCCCCTTTTGGCTAAGAACCTCAGCTTGTGTGTGTGTGTTTTAATTTTAGCACACAGTAAGCATGATAAATATTTATGTGACGGATGGATGGATGGATGGATGGATGGATGGATGGATGGATGGATGGATGGATGGATGGGCCAATGGGGCAGAACCTTCAGGTCGATGTCCTTAGGACCTACAGTGGAATGTGGCTGCCGGACGTGGCACGAACAATCACGGTGATAGTATGGATGGGACTAAGGTAAGTGAAACTTGTTGAAAAGTGTCTGTAACACCAGGATAAACTCATTGCAGCTTAATTCTCAGAAACTGAGCAAGAACAACGATCGACAGGAAAGAGTGAAAGCACAGGTTAGGATAGATCTGGATTTAAACACATCCCCTCTACTTGGAAGCTTCCCTGGGCCCATCCTTTTACTTCTATTAGCTTCATTCCTGCACACATAAGATTAAAAAGATAAATTCAGTGGCGTGCCTAGAGCTTGATAAACAGGTGCCCTATTCAAATAAAACCTATAGAAAGGTTTGATTCTAAGTCGTTGGGAAGCCTGCGGTAAGTTAGCAGAATCTCTCATCCCAGAGCCACTTACTTAAACATTTGCATTTAAAATAATATGTTTGGGGCAGTGTCTATTTAACCATACTACAAGAAATGTTTTCAAAGGCGAGAAACCATTTTTGTGGGTGAGCACATTTACCCTCCAAATTATTACAGCCGCTGTATCTCCCTGTGGGGCCGGAATACGTGCGGACCCAGGGGAAGGTAAAGCTCCTTAGTGCCCAGGGCTTGACACCTGAGGATTTTAATGTCCTAGCCGACCACTCTTTACAGCGGGGTGGTGTGGGATTCACCTCCTTCTGAAATCGGTCCTAGTCATTGGTATTTAGAAGGAACAGGAGAAAAATATGGAGGCTCTTAAAACAGGTCTGGTTATCAGAATATCATCCCTGGGCTTCTGTTGGCCTAAGAGCAACTCTTGTAACTTTCAGCAGGAGCAAGACCTTCCACCTAGGCCTTGTCAAGCTCCGTGATTTGGTGACAGCTCCAAACTAAAGGCAACAGTATCCCAGGGCTTTAAAATGGGTAACTTCTTACGGCGCGGGAGCCCTGCTCGCCCTCAGTGTGTCACCTACGAACGAGGAAAGGATTTACTCACTAACATCGAAAGACAGACCTGAGAGATGCAATGTCTCTTTCAAGTTCCATGTTAATTTTTCCTGATCATTTCCCTTAAAAATATCATGATCGTATCCACAAAGGATCACAAAATCAGTCCAAAGTCAGGTAGAGAAAGAAACAAACCTCTCAAGATGCCTTTTGCGACGATGGGCAGCGACGTGAGCCCCCTGAGCCATTTCATGTCCTCCCAGCTGATGGACGGGTCTATCGCTTTAGCCACGTACGAGGCAAGTCCACTGTTGTCGCCAAAATCCTCCTTAGGGGAAAACGCTAAATCGTTGGTTTCAAAATTTTTCATTCTGAAAGAAAGAGATGTATAAGATGAGAAGCTCCTCCAAGCTGGAGAGATCTTTACAATGACTCAGTCAATAAAAAAAGTTACCCCCACGTTTCCGCAACCACTATTGCTGTGTGCGATTGTTTTAAAAAGTAGCTCTATGAAGGTATAATTCACATACCATACAGTGCAATAGTGTGTGTGTGTGTGTGTGTGTGTGTGTGTGGTGTGTTCATATGTATATCCTGTGGGTTCTGTTTCTCTGGAGAATCTGACTAATACAGGCCGTTTCTCTTGCTCCTGGAGCCTGAGTCCCCACCCACACAGCAGACTTGCAGTGTCAGGTACATTAATGCATAAACCCCCAGCTCCCCCACCCCGAGGCCGACTAGCTCTAAGATATCTCCCACATGATATCCCGCAATTCCCCAGCGGGACTGAGCTTCAGTGGCCCACAGTAGCAGGTGTCTTGAAAACGTGACCACTGCTCACCGCCTTCCCTCCGTGTACCACCTCCCCACTCCTCTACCAATATTCCCGTCGTCTTCCAAAGGAACCACCGCCACTTAAACCGCTGGCTCCCAGCCTGCTCCTAGAGGAGCCCAAACTGCGAGCCAGCTCCGCCGGGTCGCCGCCTTCCCCTCCGTCTAACTTCGTTGCCTCGGCGGAGGCCAGCATTTCTCTAACTCACCGGTGAGGCGCTGCGGGCTCACTCTGTACCTGAGGTCCTTTCTCTTGGTCTAAGGCCCTGATGTCCTGAGTGGATTTTGGCAGTCCCCCAAACTGGGTACAAAGCCCCTTCTGTCTGCATCTCTGACCACTAGCTGGGTGGATGGACATCAGGATACACAGCGACACCATCCATGTGACTGAGCTGCCTTCAGTCCCAAATCCAGTTGTGAACCTGATTCCTCTGGAAGGCTGTCTTTGAATGATGGCAATGACCTGGATTCACCTGCTCTTCCGCACATTATAAATTACCCTGCTGGCCAATCTTCTCTCTGGGTATAAATACAGCTGCACCTCGACCTCTGACTTAGTCATGGCTCTTTCTTCCCTTCCACTAGCTCTGCCATTGAATATAGAAAGGATCCTGGAGCCATAACTATAACCATTTTATATAAACCTAGAATTACATAGGCACACTATTTTAAAATTATTTTTTAAAGGATCATAAGATTTCCTTTAATATAAAACTAAGCTTAGTGCTTTTTTACATTTTAGTGCACTTTCAGCTAAAATAACTGGTTGGGTAGCTTGGGTGGCACATATTATCAAAGGATAGGAACATTCATGTCCAATATAACTCTATTCAAGCCACTGGCAAAGTTTTCACAATAAGAATTAAACAGTAAGTCCTATAGTTTCATGGACTTAGGAGGCCCTTATAGATCATAGAAAATGCCAACTCCATGAGAGCCGTGCTAGTACCCATCTATTGGTTGAGCTTCGGTGTGGATTTTAGCTGCAATACTTGAACATCTCTTTTTTTATCAGATCACTTAGGGTTGTACATTTTATCACAGACTCTGGTCTTCCATTGTCATCCTAACTTGAATTAAGCTAACCTTCTGGTCAATAAACAGACCCGTATCATGGAGAGCTTATTCTACTACTTAGAAATAATATTAAGTGATATTAAATTCCAAACTTTTAAGGAATATTGTTAATAAGAAAAAGGTCTGGTCTGTCTCTCCCATACCAAGACCAGAGGGGAAAAAAAGAAAAACATTTGTATGTGTATATACTCTGCACAGCACCCCACACCGCTCCCAAACAAGCTACAGTGTTTCAGCAGGGGCGGGGGTGAAATGGGTAGGAAAAAACAGAAACATGGATAAAATTATATAAATAACTGTTGTTATTCTTGGACCGTGCAATGCAGATCAACACTTGAATGAATGTTGCCTTACAGAAATCTCAGTGCACAATGAAGCCTTGTTGTTACTCTAAAACGTTGTTCAAAGCCAGAAGCCAAGAAAAAGTTTTCAGATATCTTGACAGAGACCCGCGATGGAGTGTTTTACCAATGGCTCCGAAGGAAACCTCCATGAATGCTATTTTTATTTGAATTATGACATATACACAAGAAACACTTAAAGCGGCTTCTGATAACCAAAGTATTCCATTTCGTAAGGAAGGAAGGGGCAACATCAAAATAATAACGTGATTACTTCTGACTTAATTCTCCGAATCCCAATCTATTTAATGACCCAAAGGCAAGGGATAGAATTTCTTCTTTGTAAGGAACTCATTGTGCCTTGAATGTTCCTCAAATATACTTTTTAATCTAATATACAAATTACTTTAGCTTTTAGTAAGTTAGCACCATGAAAACAGTAACAACTACTGAAAGAAAGTTAAACATTATTAAATCACCAGTAATAACACTAGTAATAAATATTATGGAGAAATATATAATATTATTTTGTTATAAGTATTGATAATATGACATTAAAGATAAAGCTACATGTCCCCATAGTGGGAAACAAAATAAAAAATAACAACCATGAGAGCCAATGATATCAACACAATATGAGAGAGACAGAGAGATTCATAATACATCCAGGAATTGGTACACAGGCCACTAGCCTTTAATTCTGTGGTTAGCAAAACACTTATATTGAGAACATAGCCCTACTAATCTCTTCCTCAATGTGGCTGAGCAGTTAGAAGAAAGGTCGAAGGACTGGATATTAAGTTTGAGCTCAAACCTTTTGTTCAACTTCTTACTAGTCATGTTTTATTGGGTAAATCTCATATGATCTAATACAGTTTCATTTACTGATTCAACATTACATCCTGAGCACCCACTGTGAGCCAGTGTTTTAGATGTTTAGGGTATACCAGTAAATGAAACAGTCAAAAATCTCTGGCCACATAGGGTTGACATTCTAGCAAGAGGAGATAGGAAATAAACAGTAAAATCAATAAGTAATTTATGGAGCAAGTTGGGTCATACATGCCATAAAAAATAAAGGAAAAAGCCCTGGCCGGGTTGCTCAGTTAGTTGGAGCATCAACCCATACAATCAAGAGGTTGTGGGCTCAATTCCTGGTCAGGGCACATGCCTGGGCTGTGGTTTTGATCCCATGTCAGTGCGCTTACGGGAGGCAACTGATCAATGTTTCTCTCTCACATCGATGTTTGTCTCTCTCTAAAAATCAACTTATAGATATAGATATAGATATAGATATAGATATAGATATAGATATAGATATAGATATAGATATAGATATAGATATAGATATAGATATAGATGATATATAGATGATATAGATATAGATGATATAGATGTAGATATAGATAGATGTAGATATAGATATAGATGATATAGATAGATATAGAGGATATAGATATAGATATAGAGGATATAGATAGATTAGATATAGATATAGATGATATAGATTAGATATAGATATAGATTAGATATAGATATATATATAGATATAGATATAGATATAGATATAGATATAGATATAGATATAGATATAGATATAGATATAGATATAGATATAGATAGATAATCTCCCCCCTCAGGTGAAGATTTTAATTAATTAATTAATTTTTAAAAGTAGAGTCGAATAAGAGGTACATGAACTCGTAGAGGCTTAACTTGAAAATTAAAACATAATCAAGCTTAGCCTCCTTGAGCAGCTACCTTGTAGCTGCGATCAGCAGACGGGTTGTTGCTGTGCACACCGCTTGTGGCTGCTATAACGAAGGACCGCAAACCTGGGGGCTGGAGAGGGGCACAGATTTATTACCCTGCCGTCTGGAGGTGAGGAGCCCAGAATGATTCTCCCTGGGCTACACTCAAGCCGTGGACAGCGCTGTCCTCCTTCCAGGGGCTCCAGGGGACAGTCGTTCCCTTGCCCGTCCAGCCTCTGGAGGCCACCTATGTGCGCGGCCTCCGGGGTGTCCCTCGGGCCTCTGCGCCGCGCCACCTCCTGCTCCGGCTCGGGCACTCCTGCCCCTCTGACGAGGCCCCGCAGCTCGGGAAGTCTGTGCGACACTCCAGGATAATCTTCCCGCCTCAGAGCCTGTGGGACAGGGGCGTCTTTGGGGTTTAACACCCTTACCCTGTTCAACACGGTTTTGCCCTGAATGTTTTTCTAACCACGGAATTCACGGGCTACGGCGCCACGTATCAAGTCCACCTTCAGGAATGTTCCTCCCCAAAGCCTCTCCAAGACCCCCGCACGCGCGGCGTCTCTATCCCGATCTCTCCTGTTTGTTTTTATTTTGGTTTCCCACTACAAAGACAGGCGGGCGTCCCCATAGGAAAACGCTAGAGACTGGGGGCGTTAGGGGTGCCCTGACTGGGGGCGGCTGTTCCGGGCAGAGGGACGGCGCCCTG